ATTTATTTTTTTATTGCTTCACTTAACGAGAGCTCGGGCGGACACGTCGGTGTCGGCTTACTCAAAGTCAAATTAATACTATTATCACAGTTTAACCACAAATTTTCTCACCTTACCTTGTATATATCAGCATCTAAATATACAAAGGAGACAACGAACGAATAGAAGAAAATATTGTTAATCTAATTTGGGCAGTGGGGCACTTTGATGATTGGCGACAAGATCTGTGTCTAGCCGTGGACAATAAAAATACCTATATAAAGCATTGGAGGAAACAATCGTAGACCTATGTAGAGTACTTAGAGAAAAAATCTGTGTCGAGCACTAGACGAAACAACGAAAGCTTATATGTAGCAGTGTATAAAATATTGGTTCCCTGTCAACCAGTGGACGTTTAGTTAGTGAATAGAAGGTGACATGAGATGAAAAACAGATTAGCTAAAGAAAAGAAGACGAAAGAAAGGAAAAGAAAAATGATTCGACTTGTCAGTAAGCGTGATGTCACCCGAACACCTGAGCAGGTGCAAACATCAAAGGATGCCGCTTTTTCCCACGGTCGGTAAAATTTTCCCAGCCCCAAGTGCCGCAACATCTACATCTTTCTCTTTATACTATGCTATTATGTAATAACTAATAATAATTAGAAAGCAATAGTAATTACCTGTTATTATTCTTAGGAAATCTAAATAAACTTATTCCTTTTCCTGTCACAGATGAACATCCGCGAAACGCACAACAATAACCAGAAGACATTTTAAATACTTATAAATTAAACTTTTAACTATAAACTATAACTATAAACTTATATATTTAACTTATATATTTTAACTATAACTATAAACTTTTAACTACTAAATAATTAGATAAATGGTCAAATGCACTTGTATAGTCGAGAGTTTACCACAGATGCCTACGGACTATCGTAAGCAACTTAAAATTGAAGAAAACGCACGTGTTTTTGACAGTAAAGCACCTTATTTGGGTCATGCGTATACAGAAAAGATACACGAATTCTGGGCCTCGTGTCGCTTCTCTGTGTTCGTATGTTCTCTGCTATAGATAGATAGAACAGGTAGTACTATAAAAACATATTGCTGATAATGAATATGATTTAACTAATGCAACTAGATGGTATGATTTATAATAATAAATTTACAATACTAATCATAAAGTAACCCATTTAAAGCACTATAAAACTTTCTTGACAACTCTTCCTCTTTAAATAAAACTAAAAATAACTGCAGAATTTCACTTAATTTTTTTTAACCCTTAAAAATGTTTTTATAAAAGAAAAAATATATTCAGTATGTTTAATCATCATCATTATAAGTGGCTCGACAATCCGTTGTGAATCTTGGCCTGCTCACAAAGAAATCGCCACTTCTGTCGATTCCTGGCAACTTCCCTCCATCTTCTAACCCTTAGAATCTGTAGATTTTCTTCCACATCATCAATCCATCTCATTCGTGGTCGTCCTCTGCTTTTTGTGCCCTCTAGTTTTGAAAATGTTAATCCCTTCTTGTATTTGTGATCTGACATCCTAGCGATGTGTCAAGCCCATCTAAGTATCTGCAGTTTAATGAATTTCACAATATCTGGATCAGTACATAACTGATATAGTTCAAAGTTGTATATTCAGGCCATTTTCATTTACGGCCCCAACAATCTTTCTAAGAATTTTTCTCTCAAAAATACCAAGAAGTTTCATCATTTTGAGATAATGTCCACGTTTCAGCCCCATATATCAAAACTGGTCCAATTAAGATAATATTAAAATAATGTTTAATCAATGACATTAAATTTTTTTTAAGACAAAAATATAATAACATAAAATATCTCATATTTCAGTTCTAATATTCACTGTTGGTAAATCCCCAGATGTTAGTCACTATTCTCCAAATCACATTCACCAAGAATATCATATTTATTATATAAACAAGTTTTGTAAGACAGTGACTGTGATTTGATATCATATCTGGTCATTGATCATGGTTATCGAAGTTAGCAAGGAATGCTAGTTATCAGTGATTTATAAATCACTGTCACTGAAGCACTGTTAGTAAAATCACGTCCCATTACTAACATAAATATATGTATTTCATCTTTTGACCATTAAAACTTAATTACTTAAAAGCATTAGTTTGAAAAATCTTCTTCTTCAAGTGCCGTCTCCATCAGTGGAGGTTAGCGGTTATGGTGGCAAACGTTTGTCTATCTTCAGCTGCTCTTAAGACTTCCTCAAATCCAAGTCCTGTCCAGTTTCTGATATTACGTAACCAGGACAATTTTTTTCTTCCAATTCGTCGCTTTCCTTCTATTTTGCCTTTTATTATCAACTGAGGGATGTAGTATTTCTCGTTGCGCAACAAATGCCCTAAATAAGTGGTTTTTCTTCTTTTGACTGTTCTCAATAGTTCTTTTTCTAAATTGAGTCTAGCTAGTACTTCTTCATTTGTTTTTCGTGTTGTCCAAGGAATTTTTAAAATTCTACGGTACACCCACATTTCAAATGCCTCGATTCTATTCAGGCTCTTTATTTTTAAAGTCCACGTTTCGACTCCGTAGAGAAGAACAGACCAGATAAAACATTTTACAAGTTTTAATCTCAATTTAATATTTATATGTGTATCGCAGAATAGAACGCGCATCTTAAAGAAACTATCCCTAGCTTGAGCAATTCTCGCTTTAATTTCTTGTTCTGGGTCCAGCTTGCAATTAATCCAACAGCCAAGGTATTTGTATTGGTTTACCTGTTCTAAAATATTCCCATTTATTTTTATAGGTAAGGGGATATTCTGTTTTCTTTGGATCACCATTACTTTTGTTTTTTTTTTCGTTTATCTTCATTCCAAACTCTCGACAAGCATCCTTAAGGTGGTCTATAACCCCCTGTAAGTTTGTGTCTGTATCAGCCAGTAGGACAGTGTCATCTGCATGTCTTATGCTAGATATTGGTTCTCCATTAATTTTTATTCCTGTGGAAAGGTTTTCCAAGGCTTGCTTGAATAGTAGTTCCGAGTAAAGATTGAACAGCATAGGGGATAGTATGCATCCTTGCCTTACTCCTTTATTTATACTAATATTTCTAGATGTATGATCGTCGATCCTAATCTTGGCACTCTGCCTCCAATATAAGTTCTTAATTAATCGGAGATCTTTACTATCCAAGTTGATGCTCTGCAAGGAATTTAACATTTTATTATGGTTTACGCGATCAAATGCCTTTTCAAAGTCTACAAAACATAGAAAGACATCCTTTTGTTGGTCGTAACACTTCTGCAGCAGTAATTGTAGTGAAAACAAGGCCTCTCTGGTCCCCATTCCGGCTCTGAATCCAAATTGATCGTAGCCAACTTCTTTTTCACACCTTTTGTATACCCTATTGTGAAGTATTTTTAATAGAATTTTAAGCACTTGGCTCATAAGACTTATTAATCTAAAATCTGCGCATCGCCTGGAGTTAGCTTGTTTTGGAATGGGAATAAAAATAGATTCTAACCATTCCTCTGGTATTTCCCCAGTATCGTAGATTGTATTAAACAAAATTACTAACAAATCAATGTTATTACTTTCGATCAATTTAAGTATTTCAGGATAAACTTCATCAGGTCCAGGGCTTTTGTTGGTCTTTAATTGTTTAATGGCATATTCCACTTCGACTTTTAGAATTGATGGGCTTTCAGTAACATTATTTATTGTAATGTCTATTCTTTCATCTCGGAACAGCTGTTGTATAAATTTTTCCCATTCTTCTATTTTATCTTTGGTGTTATGAATTAACTCTCCGTTGTTATTTACCAGTGGGCAATGTTGTTTTTTGTGGATGAATGAAAATTCTTTCACCTTCTTGTACATATTAAAGTAATCATGTCTATGTTCTAATTCTTCTATTTCTTTACATTTTTCTTCGAGCCATTTCTCTTTTGATTCTTTTATTTTCCTTCGTATTTCTGTATTTAATCGTTTGTAATCGATTGTGTTCTTATTTTTGTATTTCCTCCTTTCGTTTATCATCTTTAGAATAGCTGGTGTCATCCAGTCTTTTTTTGCCATTAATCGTGTATTTGGAATTTCTTCCCTTGCAGAATTGACGAGGATGGATTTTATTTGTTGCCAAGTTGTATTTATATTTTGGATATTTATTTGGGTTCGGTCTATTTCTGAGAGTTTTTCATTTAGTTTTACAGTGGTTTTATCTTTAATCTGTACATCTTTTAGTAGTTCCATATTAGGTTTGTTCTTCGGCTTTGCATCTTTTTATTACTTTAATTCTTGTGCGAATATTTGCTACTACAGGGTTGTGGTCGGAATTTGCATCAGCACTAGGATATGTTTTTGTACTTGTAATGGAGTTACGAAATCGTTGGTTGATTAAAACATAATCTATTTGATTTCTTATTATTCTTTCTTTTGTGTGTAGCGGGGAAGTCCAGGTGTATAACCTACGTTGAGGTAACTTAAACCAAGTGTTTGTTGCTATCATATTGTGTTGCTGGCAAAACTCTAATAGTCTGTCTCCTCTTTCATTTCGTTCTCCTAGACCGTATTCTCCTACGATATTTTGGAATTTCCCTCTTCCTATTTTAGCGTTAAAATCTCCTAGGACGATGTTAATATCTTCTTTCTTTGTCAATTTCATGAGCTTTTGTAGATCTTCATACCATTCTTCTAGTATGTCATCTGGCTTATCTGCGGTTGGTGCATAGACCTGAATAATATTCACATTAAAAGGAGAACTCCTTATTTGCAACAGCATTGCTCTGTCAGAGAGTGGTATAAAGTTTGAAACTGCGTTACTCAATTCATCGTTTATTATTACACCTACTCCATTGAAATGTTTTGGATCATTGTTGCCTGAATAATAGAGTGTTTTGTTCATAATTGTTGTTGTTCCTGAGTTAGGCCATCTAACTTCACTCAGACCTAAAATATCTATATTCAATCTGTTCATTTCTTGGCACACGAAAAATCTGATTACTCTTTATTTTTTTTTTTTTTAGATAAGAAGATGTTTTATATATGATGAAGAATACAGTGATTGTACCTCATTGAAAGCAAGATTTAACCAATACTTCATTTTTGGCAAATCTATAGATTGTTCTCAATGGAAGAGAGACTCCATAAATTGTTACAAATGGGAAAATGACCAAGATGTTAATGCAGCTGTAAGTAATATAATATGTGTATTTTAATTTATTTTTGAGTACAACATTTTCTAGAATGAATTAGTTCAGAGTGAAAAACAAAGAAGAAAGGAGAGATTACTTCCTCATTACCAGAATGATGTCTGGACAAAACGAAAATCACCTCCTGAAAACTGGAACTCCCCATTGCCAGATTATATTACAAAAGATTATGAAACAAGTTATCTTAATATTAAATCTAAGGAAATGAAGGGAGAAATACCACCTTCATTTGATATGGATTACAGGTGTACTATAATGTAATTCTTTTATTGTAGTTTTATAAATAAAAATTTTTTGTTACATTTTTCCTGTCAGATCAGTTACTTTGCATCCTTATTTTAATTTAGTTAGAGTACATATTCTTAATTTGAATGATAAAAGTATATATAGTAAGGGAGAAGTCATGATGAAAACTGAAATCCATTGTCTTTCTCTTTTCTTGCAACTTTGATGAATTTTCAATGGTAATAATCTCCTAGTCATATTCCTTTCAGTCTCATTTAATATTATATAGCTTCTGGTTGTGTCAAAGTCATTTCTTTATATCCCAAGTTTAGCTTCGCTAAAAAGGATTTTTGATTTATTTTTGTGTATATTCTGGTCCCACAAAAATACTTTGTGTGCCTCTACCTTCATGGCAATTTCTTTGTTCTTTAAGAATAGTATCATTTTAATAAAGGTTGGAAACAAGAGTGAGATAATTTGTCGATTTTGGGTAGCTCAGAGCAATGATAAAATCTCCCTTTTTGAGTATTGAATATCCTGTGTTTACAATTTTATCAAGTAGATGTTGAAGATCTTCTGGACTTCTTCTATAACAAGTATTTGGTGTATTTTATTAATTATACCATTAATTTTTATTCCCTCTTGGCTAATGCTGTCTTAAATATGTGTTCTGAGTAGGGTAGAAGAGGGAGACTTGATCACTCTTTAAAGTTTCAGTAAATAAGCAGCCTAAAATTATAAAACCGGCAACATAGCGTAGCTGTTAATATGGGTTTAGATCCCATTTAATTTAATTTTTGTTAGAATACACAATAAATAGCAAATGTTCATTACAATTTTTTTGTCCCTACCGAGAAGTGTTTTCAGAATTATTTCAAGTTAATTTTCGTTTAGGTGAATTTTTCATACAATTTTTATTTAACACCAAAATCATTCAGTTAACGTTTTACAGATGAGTTCTAGTTTCTTGTCATATTTGTATAGACTTAAATATTCAAATGGCCTCTTGGAGGAGACTTAATTCAAACGTATCTGCGAAATATGATCCCGGAATCAAGTTTCCCAGAAACTCCTTATAGATGAGTGTTTTTTAGTTTATAGATATGCCACGTCAATACAAAAGGAGGGAAGGGAGCCCAGAAAAGAGCACCAGTCGATAGCCAGAGGGTAAAAGAAGCTGTTTTAGACGTTATTAATAACGGTACGTCTCTCAATGGAACGGCAAGTTGTTGCAATTGTATGACATTAAAAAGATACGTTCGCCGACAACGATCCGAAAATGTTAAAATAATCTTATCTCTTGATGGCTCTCTTGATGAAGAAGGCTCATGTATTTAAAAATGCAGAGGAAAATGTTTTTAAAGATTATTTAGATGTTGCTAGAAAATTACACCATGGTCTTACAACCAAACAAGCAAAAGAACTGGCATACGAGTTTGACGTAATAATTAATAAAAAAATACCTGCTTATACGAATTTCTGAAGAGGATGAAGACTTTATCACTACGCTCTAAGGAAGCAACCAGTCTTTTTAGAGCAACTAGCTTCAACAGAAATAATCTAAACCACCAAAATTTTTCGGAAATTTAAAGACAGTTCTTGAAAACAATGGAATTAGACCAGAAGCAATTTGGAGCGTGGGCGAAACTGGAGCTTTAACTGTCCATAAACCAAAGATCAGTGCATGCAAAGGTGAAAAACAGGTTGGTAAAATTACGTTAGGGGAGCGTGGAGCATAACTGTTTGTTGTGCAATCAACGCAAGGAAACCATATACCGCCTTTTATGGTTTTCCCTCGAAAACTTTGGTAAGATCGCATGATTTATTATAGCCCACCATAGAACATCGGCGTAGTTTATGAAAATGGATGGATGACCGCTTCTAATTTTATCAAATTTTTGGAACATTTTCAAAAACATGTAAAGGCGACTACCGGCAATAAATGTTTAATCAAAATGGACAATCATGATAGCCGTTAGTTTGGAAGCCATAATGTTTGCTAAACAACACGGAATAATTCTTCTTACTATACCACCACACATGTTGCATAAGCTCCAGGCGTTAGACAGGAGAGTATTTGGCCCCCTCAGGAGTTTTTATAATACTACCTGTCATAATTGGATGGTGACCCAACCAGGAAGGACATTTACAATATACGAAGTCGAAGGATGCTTAGCTTACGCTTTCCCCGTAGCTTTTACTCCACATAATATAGAGAGTGGATTCAGAATTATGGGTATATGGCCTTCCAATTCCAATATTTTACCAGTGAAGATTTTATTTCGGCGTGTGTTACTGATCGCGAAGATCCGGAAAACAATTCCACTTTATCTCAGTTTGATGTTGCACAACCAGCCATAGATAACAATAACCAACCCTCCACTTCTAATAGCATTTTCACCACTCCTGAAATAATTAGACCACATTCCTCAACTGGATCGATTTCACATAATCAACAACTACGACGAACACTAATAGAGGATAAAAAGCTTTTTACTTCCACTGGCACTTTCATCACACCTCAAATAATTAGATCACATCCTGTAAATGGAGATACTTTACAAAATGAACAGCTACAACAAACATCATAGAGCCAATAACCAGCCGTTCAATTCTGTCACTTTTACTAGCCCAGATATAATCAGATCTTATCCTAAAGTCGGGCCAAGGACTTCAACAAAGTGCAGAAAGCGAGCAACTACGAAAATTCTCATAGCTACACCAGAAAAACTTGCACTTGAAGCTGAAGTTAGGGCTAAAGAAGTGAAAAATTTAGAAAAGGGCCAAGGCCAAAGTAAGAGCCCTAAAAAAATAACTAAACAAAAACTTTATGCAAAACAATAACAAGGATTTGAGGGAATCATCAAGTTTCTGGGACAGTGACATTATACTACCATCGTCAGAGTCTGAATATGATCCCAATGATGAAATGTAAGCTGAGACAGATACTGAATGTGAATCAGAAGCAGAAGGTGACAAGTTTGAATTGAGGGTGCAAGATTGGGTAATTGTAAGCTTTGTCTCCGAAAGAAACTTGGTCCATCGTTACGTAGGACAGATAACGAGAAAAAAAAACGAGGATTTTAAAATCAAAGCACTTTAACTAGGCACTTAATATAGAGAAAGAAGAAGAAAACCTGAAAGACGAAAGAGATGAGGTAAGAAGAACAGACGAGAAGGAAGAGGAACCACCAACGATTCTTGAATTTAAAGATGCAGTTAAAAAACTAGCCAGAAACAAATCTCCCAGCTGAACTATATAAAGAAGGTGGCCACGATACCATTATGGCATTACAGCAGCTTATAAAAGAAACATGGACACCGAAATCCCTCCCCAACGGTTGGAATATGGAATACTTTGCATCATACCTATACAAAAAACGAGATATCTTTGAATGGTCTAACCACAGAGGAATTAAATTTCTAAATGCAGTACATCAAATATTTTTTACAGTACTATGTCACCGTATGGCACCATATGCAGAACCTATAGTTGGAAAGACAGGGATGTGTCCTATCACCTTTGCTGTTCAATTGTTTACTCTGAGAAGATATTTCAGAAAGCTTTGGAAGGCATCTCGGATGGTATAATTATAAACGGGCAATCTATAAATAACCTGCGGTATGCTGATGACACTGTCATACTGGCAGATAATGCTGAGGCCCTGCAACGCTTAATGGACCGAGTAACGACAGCCTGTAGAGAATTTGGAATGAAATTGGATACAAAGAAGACAAAAACGATGGTCATCAGCAAGCACCAAAACAGAAGGGTGAAGGTCAATGTCGACGGAACAAATTTGGAAAGAGTAACAAGAACAACGTACCTTGGAAGTAATCTTGATGAAACTTGGGACCACTCACTAGAGATAAGAATACGCCTGGAAAAGGTACGTACAATGTTTTACAAAATGCAAAAAGTTCTATGCAACCGCTAGCTGGGCATCTCATTGAGAACTAGAATACTTAAGTGTTATGTTTTCTCCACCTTGCTCTATGGTGTTGAAGCCTGGACGATGACAGAAGCAAAACAAAAAAGAATCCAAGCATTCGAACTCTGGTGTTAGGTTCCGTAAAATGTTCAGAATATCCTACATGAGCCGTACGACAAATGCGGAAGTCTTGCGGAGGATGAATAAGGAAAGAGAGCTTATGCTTATAATAAAAGAACGGAAAACACCATAATTTGATCACATCATAAGAAATCAAAAGTATGAACTGCTCCAACTTAAACCCACATTTCCTGACTCCTCTGTTAATATAAATGGATATACAATATATCATAAAGACAGAGAAAATCGTGTGGGTGGCGGTGTATGCATTTATTTATCCAATATTATTACCACAACTTTCAAAATTAACATTAAGCTAATAGATATTATTGGAATAGATGCAATTCACTTATCTGATACTAAAAATTCTTTTTGCCTTAATTTTGTATGTACCTATATATCGTCCACCTAATACACTACTTACACACGATAATGTTTTCCTCACAAAACTTGAAGAACTATCATCTCTTGATAATCACTGGAGATTTTAATTTCCCAGAGATCACCTGGCCAATAACTTCATTATCTGACAACGAAAACGCTCATAATTTATTTAAAAGCTTTGTAGTAAATTCAAACCTGATACAACTCATTACACAACCTACTAGATTTAGGAATAATAACCAACCTTCTACTTTAGATCTAGTGCTTATTAACGACGAACAGCTGATTTCATCTCTCGAAGTCAGTTCTCCTATAGGAAAGTCAGATCATGCAGTTATAACGGCTCACATCCAGTTCAATCAAATATTACCTCGCAAAAATAACATTGTAACATGCTACTACCGACTTTTCTGAAGTTGACACTGAACTCTCTCAAATCGACTGGCATTTATTTTTTGCTGACTTAAACGACCCCTCGTTAATGTGGACTGCATTTCTCGATAAAGTCCACAATATAATTTCTACAAATACTACTTTCCGTAAGAGTTATAAAAACAGCCTTAAACCCTGGATAAATCGAACAGCAATTAAACAAATTAATCACAAACGACATCTATGGCGAAAATTTAAACACACCGGGCTTC